CTGGCTGAGCAAAAACTTCCTCAACCTCAACGAGAGCAAGACCGAGGTCATCTTTTTTGGACCGCAACCTCCATCCTCTCCGGTTGATATTCTGGGCTCTATCAAAAAAAACATCCTCCCCTCGGTCATGAACCTTGGAGTGACCTTCACCAGCACTTTTAAATTCGACAAGCAGGTCAGCACCATAGTAAAATCCTGCTTTTTTAAAATAAGACTATTGGCCAAAACCAAGTCGTATTTATCTTTTAAAGACTTAGAAAGGGTTATTAACGCCTTTGTAACCTCGAGACTGGACTATTGTAACGCTCTGTATGTGGGTATGGACCAGGACTCAATCAAACGCTTACAGCTAGTCCAAAACGCTGCTGCACGTTTGCTGACTGGTCACAAAAAGCGCGACCACATCACCCCTATTCTGGCCTCACTACACTGGCTTCCAGTTCGGTTCAGAATTGATTTTAAAATCCTTTTATTTGTTTTTAAAGCCCTAAATGGGCTGGCTCCGGCCTATATAACTGAACTGCTCCAGCGCTACACCCCAGCCAGAGCTTTAAGGTCTGCTGACCAGCTGCTGCTGGTAGTGCCCAAGACCAGGCTAAAAACCCGAGGGCACAGAGCCTTCGCAGCAGCTGGCCCTAGGCTCTGGAACACTTTGCCCCTCCATGTGAGGTCGGCCCAGACCCTAGGGGTTTTTAAATCAAAACTAAAAACACACTTCTTCTCTCTGGCTTTCTAGTTAGAGCGGAGCATGACTCCTGACTTTTCCGTGTGTTTTATTCTTATTTTGTTTTTTAAGATATATCTGTTGTAATTTATTGTCGTTTATTGTGTTTTGTAGTATTGTGTTTTTATTACATGTACAGCACTTTGGCTCGACCAAAAATCGCTTTTAAATGTGCTTTATAAATAAAACCTGATTTGATTTGATTTGATTTGATTCAGTTATGAAGAATACATTTTCACATTTCATGAAATAGGAATACATTTGTACCTGAACTGTTTGATTAATTACTGTTAAGCACATTAAGGTGGATTAATTTCTAGAATATATTGGTCTTTCTTCATAATTTGTCACAATTAATAAAGTATAACAAGGTTTGTTGGTAAAGTATTATCTTTATGTAAATGCTTTGATGTAAGAAGCTGATCCCTGTCTGTCTTTTTGTTCTTATTTTAGTACTCTTGATTTTGTGAAAACACAAAGCACAGGATTGTATATATCACCTGCCTACAGTATACAGCATCAGTGGAGCTGTTCAAACGTTAAAATATTATAATAATTTACAGATTATATATTAGAACTTGTCCAAACTGCGTGTTCATATCAACATTGCTCATTAATTAAAATAAATAGTTTGTATTGAACTTGGTCATGGTGGTATTACTTTGATCACTTACCTGATACAGTTAGATAGATTGTATTGCTTTCCTTTGTTGATCCCGTCTGATGAAAAAAACATTGGTATTCACCACTGTCGCCTGTATATAGAAGGGATAATGTATTGTTCTCATATTTGCCGTAAGGGAGAAATCCTCCACCATTCCTTTGGATTGAGTAAAACCAGTCGCTGTATCTGTCTCCTGTGATGTCACACTTGAAGGTAACAGACTCTCCAGAAAAAAAAGTTGTCCAGTTTGGCTCAATGGTCAGCACAGCATCTAGAAAAAATCACAAGATACATAAAGTAAAGTGTGTTTTCTTTTTGTCAAAACATTTATAATACATTGACAAAACGGAACACACAAAAAAGTGGTTGTTGTGTGGAGAGTTACATAGGTAGATTTTACTATAGTTGGTAAACAAAAAGAAAGAAACATTTTTTATTACCTTGAGCTTGTCCACGATAAAGTGAATTCAGCACTGAAATAAGTATGAAACTACATCAGACATTATCAAACTGACAGAAATCAAACATATCATAATATCAGGCATTTAAAAAGTTGGATCAATGGCAATTAAAACATTAAAAGTACTCACAGAAAAACCCCAGTAGAGAGAGCAAAGTGTGTCCCATCTTCACATCCAACACTGATAATCTGATCCTCTGCTTGTGAGAAATTCTTCTACTTTGTGTAAATAGAAAGATCGAAACTGCAGCATATCAAGAGAAATCAGGAACTACAGAGAAACAAATGCAATGTAATATTGGAAAAGGACGTTTTGTTTTACTTCTTTACACGGCCTGGGCTTCCTTTCCTTTTAGGCAAAGCTCACACAACTGAACAGCTTTTAACACAGCACATTTGTTTGCACCTTGGTTTAGGCATCCTGTAATGATGAACAGAGATAAGGTATTAAAATATCCTTCCTGATGTAGATAAGATCATCCTGTGGGCGTGTGCTTCTGCACAAATGGTCAGTAATTATTGATGCTTCTCTAAAGACTGCTGCATGAAGTCTTTCTAGAAAAAGTGCATACAGATTTAAGAAGGAGATACAATTGCAGGCGTCATACTCACTTTATAATCGATGGGCCTTCTCACCAATATTTCTTATGAAAATGTGTGTAACAGCTTTAACCAAATAGTTGAACTGCAGTGCTGGTGTGTTCTGGAGGAATTCAAGTTTAAGTTTAGAAACAACCTCACCCACAGGAAGTCTCTCATAGTCTCTTTACCAGAAGTGAATGTGAAGAGAGACAAAGTCCAGCCCCCTCCTCGAGATAGACTCTATCTACTTTAAGGGGGCATAATTCCATATCTATATCATTATTAATAAATAAATCATTTAAATACAGACAATATTTTTTGTTTAGGTGCAACATCGTATCACAACAGTTGTACATAGATGACTTAATGTCATAATAATGATCAAAATAAATAAATACCACAACACTTCAGTAGTTGTGAAGTTTTAAATGTGGTGGGAAGTCAAAATTAAAAGCTTCCACTTCCATGCATCAGTGCAAAGCTAAGGAAGTGAACCGTAAGCAGTCAATTGTTTAGTTATTAGTTAGGAGTTACATTTACATGACATCAGACCCTGGTACCAGACTTCAGAAGGACTATTTGTGTAGAGTAGGTAAAGTATCAGATAAAGTAGTTTGACACCACCTTATGGTCATATATCGAAAGAAAACTTCAAATATAACTGCACAGTGACTGGAGAAAAAATAACATTGAATATTCTCAGTAAAACATACTTACATAAATTGGACAAACTAATGTTGGCTGTAGTGCGTCAGTAGATTCCCTTCTTCTATCTCTTTACATAGAGAATACTGTATGTTTATCCATGGACAATGTAGGAACAAAGTTACCATTTTAAAATTTTAATGACAATAACATGTTTGAAAAATACAAAATGTTCTGCCTTGTTTTCTTCCTGGACAGGCTTTACTGCTTTGATTGCATTGGAAGCATGAAATAAAGATAATACTTGTGGGTTGTTGGTTTTCTATTGGGGAGAAATTCCATCTTGTTTTAGGTATATTGGATACTCTGCTTAACACAATACAGAACGTTTGTATTATTAAAGATGAGATGGTAAAATAATCTAAATTACTTTTATTAATAAAGAACAAAAAAGTGCCCCAACAATCTGAAAGGAAACAAATACACTGTACAAAAGGTGTGTGCTTCAGTTCCTTTGAATCTGAACATCTTGTTTGACCTATTGGTGGCGCTGTGACTTCAGATGTTTTGGCTTTTGCAAGAGACTACTTCTGCAGATAAATTAAAGGCATTAGATCATGTGTTGGCACCCTGTGGTAGCATCTAGTAAGAATCATTCACTGAACAGTACATGCAGGTATAATTGCATAAGGGTTTTGTTAATAATATATTTGTGTGTCCACTGTGTGCATCTACAGTGCTAAAGCATGTGTCCATACTGCATATATTAGTATCTGGCTCTAATATCACCAAATGTACAACGAGGTTAGAGCCAAATGATCTGAATCAGACATGTAACAGATAAGGTTGTAGTACAATGTCTTACACTAAATATAAGTACAAAGAAAGGAAGTATACAGAATTGCAAAGCATTTAGCATGTTCCTAGAAAGGCCGTTATTAAAAAAGGCTGTGCGCTATTTACACAAAAGCAGCAAATACACTCAATTGCTGAAACAAGGATGTTGTTTTTCATGTTTTTATCCGCTCCATTGGTTCTGTCCATGAGGATGTCTTTATTGATCTGGAAGAAAACCAAAATGAGTTATTGTCATTGGGTCATTTCTGCTCATGGTACTATTTTTAAATACAACAATGTATGTTAATGCCAACTAATTTGTGTGTGAAAATATGTACATCTGCCATTTATCAATTAAGATGTTTTAAGTAATGTTTCATTAAACCAAAACATGTCTGGAAAACAACATGCTGTATATAAGAAAGACATGAAAATGCACAAAAAGTGTAAAAGCTTTATTTGGTGGATTTGATCATTGCTGAAACTGGCAAGCAGCAAAGCACATTATAAAAGCTTTTAGTATATGTATGTGTATATGTATTAGTGTTTTTACGTGACTTTACCTGCAGCCACGTTTATGTAAAGGCTTTCTTCTGGTTCATTACTGGCACCTGTTAGAAGGATTAAAAATAATGTATCAAAGGACATTCCTGTTCTTTATTTAGACACTGCTGGCCTACAAAAGCATATCAACCATTGCATGTAGTATTTGTATTACTCCATGTTAAACACAAATTAAATACTGTACCATTTCCAGCTTCTACAGACCCTCCGATTGTTTCATAGAGACAACGATCACCTACAGAGAAGTGAAAATCAACCACGGTTACACCAATCATTTTAATCACAATTAAGGCTGAGAGTTCAAAAATAAATCATATGATTAAGCCGGACAAGGGCTGACCATGGAGGAGAGTAGAATATTCTGGCATGTTTTGAATTTCATCCTGGTTGATCATGTGGACTGTAGCAGGGCCCTGATTGGTGCTCTGAGATCTTGTCGGACATACACATGAAGATAATGAAGTGGATTGAGTTTAACATACAACTGTAATGTTCAAAATGAGATAAAAGAGGGTTGTACCGACCTGATGAAGACTGAATCTGTTGAATACAAGAAAAACTTAGTTACATTGTTTTTGAATTGCAAAGGTTTCCGGTACATGCAATCTGTGATTTTTAGTAATTATAGTTTAATTCATTTGATATCAGATGAAAAGGTTCTGACCTTTGGATTTTCTGTAGCGATACAGGAACAGCAGCGGGAGAATTATCAGTAAAACTCCACAAAGCAGCCCAACAGTCAACAGGACGGGAAATTGAGAGGCTCTTCCAGGCCGAGAAGCTGCTAATATAAATAACCTTCATTAATATTTTTTATATAACACTTTCCTCAAAGCACTTCACAGAAACAGAGCTTCAAGGTCGGACCAAGCCTCAGAAATCTCTAAGATAAATAAACAATGACAATTAAAACATTTATTAAAAACCTATGTTCACACATTGACACATACATGTACATCTATGGAATATACACAACTATACAAATACACTTACACATAAATCATAAATATTTACACACTTATTGGAACAAATTCACAAAATACACTATAAATCCCTGTTCACATATCTTGTATTTTCAATGCTGCTCATGTAATCATGGTCATATGAATGTTTTAAGACTGAATACAGAACTGGAAAAAAAAATGTCTCTTACAAAAACTAAATTGTATAATAAAAACTAAATTGTAAAATATAATAATGTAGAGAAAACTAAAACAACTTTGAATGAAGTAATAACTGTCTTTTTTAGCTCTGACTCAGCAACACATCTCAAAAAGAGGAACCTGTTTTTATCATACTCACATTTTACTGAAAACCAACTCTCTGGTGACGTCCACTTCTGCAAACCACGTGCTGAATCTCTCCGTTTACATTTATAAAAGCCTTCGTCTGACTTTGACACTGCAGAGATTGTCAGTTCCCTTCTGGTATCGTTCTGGATGAGTTTGTCATTTTTATAGAAATCCACATTATAAAGAGCAGCTTCATTATTTAACTTGCAGCTAAGAGTGACAGGAAGTCCCTCAGCCACAGGACGGACAGGACTCACCAGGATCATTTCACTATCTGAAATAAAAGAATAAGAAGGCTTTGTCAGAGCAATTAGCTTTTGCAGATTTAATACATTTAGGCACAACTGGTCTAGTCTGGCAGAAGCTAAAAACAGGTAGATGAAAGAAACAATAAAACACATAGAATATTAACTGTGATCTTTCAGAGGAGTGACCCTGGAATTGAATTCGCAAATTAGCCTTTTTTATAAAGTTTTAACTTCACCTTCACATTTCAAAACAACATAATACTTCAGAAATTTTAATATTTTAAATAATGAAAACTCACTCTCCATTGTGATGTTGACTGCATTACTGAACTGTCCTGTTTCAGACTCACACCAGAACACTCCACTAACCCGTCTCCTGGTTATTTTGCATGTGGATCCAATCATTGCCCCCCAGATAGAACAGGGATAAAGGTTACGAGGTTCATAAAACTTCATCACTCTCCACTCAGTGGAGTTTCCCTCACAGCTCAGTGACACAGACGTTCTGGTGAAGTGCTGCACACTCTCAGGACTCACTGTGAGAGACGCTACTGAATTCAAATCTGAAACACATAAAGGTGACAAACAAAGCATTTATGTTTATTGCAGGTTTAAAGCCAACTTGAACATTAAAAAAAAGAGCGAGTGTCATATTAAATCATGTAATGAATATGAAGAGGATTGCTGAATGTAAAGAATTTGGAGTTGTTTGTACCATTGGGTAACTTTTATGTAAAACATAACCAAAAGGCATATCCAAAATATTCGCGATTGTCAACGGAGGGGGGGGGGGGCGGTAGTGGAGTACAGAGCTTCGTGAACGTTGTGATCAGCTGTTTTAGCGCAGGGCTGCTGTACAGACGTTAACAGCAGCCCTGTTTGTGCACACGGAGACCGACTCTGTCGTCCTGTGATCTAACCGCCTTCTGGAAAAGCTTCACAAGTACGTCGGTACGCAAATGCGCTTCGTGACACAAGTGACGGTACGCATTTCAGATTGTTGCCGCGCATGCGTACCTGCTTACCAGTTATGTGCACCCCTGCTTATTACTTATCGTATCTGCACAAACAAGATATCGATTAGCAAGCTGAGATTCCACAAATTCTACAGATATTAGTATAATTACTGACCGATCCGAACTTGCGACATGAGAAGCTAACACAGACATCACACCATGTAGCATTAGGTAGCCAACACAGCAATATGTCTTACCTTTGTTGTTTTCTGATCAAAAGTTGTCTTCAATGGCATTAAAACGATAAAAACGCTGCTGAAGGTTAATCCATAGGTTAATCCAATGTGTCTGTGTCACTTTGAAATTATTTCTGATAATCCATCAGCAATAAACCTAGTTTTCAGAGTTCAGATTTCAGAGCATAAGATAGGTTTTGCTTTGGGCAAACTGCGTGCGCATAGCTCTCACTTCTCAATGGTAACGTGTGTGTGTATGTGGTAATTCCCCTTCGATTCTATAATAAAAATACACCCATTTCCACCCAAATGACCCCAGAGGTGGGTTTTTTTTTGCTAAACCTCTCTAAAAAGGTCAAATGTCACTTGTTTTGCATCTATCTTGATACAGGGTACTTATTATATGTTATAGTTTGGATTCCTAAAGCTTTTAGTCTACTATCCCATCATTCAATGGTTGCTTTCACTATAAGTAATGGTTTATTTTTTAACGGACACTATAATTTTTTATCTATGTTCAATCTGAACTTACTTTAAAATAAAATAAATCTATATTGATTCTGTCTTTTCTTCATCCAACTCACAGGTTTATCATTGCTTTGAGAAAAAAGATTATTAATTTACCCCTTTTAGAAGGGAAATTATTGTCATTTGTTCTGGAAATGTCATTTTCGAGCCTGAGACCTGAAAAACAGGCTTGGGGCTTAACAAATTAAGACATATTCCCAACGGAAGAGATTAAGAGATAAAAGCATTCAACAGGTAAAGGTGGGGTAGGTAATTTTGGAGAAACCAGCTCGAGTGTGCTAGAATTTGAAAATACACAGCCGGAACAAATCTGCCACTTCCTTACAGAGCCCCTCCTCCAACACACACGAACGCGCACATGACCAATGAGGGCACGAGATAAGTTTGTGCACAGTACTACGGCTTCCACAGATGACATTTTTTAATGGATTTTTTGTCAAAGCACTTAAGATATTCATTATTATCGGGATGTTAAGAGCATTCCATGGAATATAACAAAAAGTGTATCTCGAGCCGGTTTCTCAAACTTACCTACCCCACCTTTAAGGTAAGTTCGAATAATGGAAAGGTCAAAACAAACTTAATTCAAACTCTGTTCAATTTAAATGGCCATGATATTTGGTATATAAATATATATAAAAATAAATAAATAGAGAAATAATAAAAGGAACCACATACTGACCTCCAGACCAGACAAACGCAGGTTTGCTGTACGAACTGTAAAACACTCGATCTTCTCTTGCAGCTCTGCAAACATATCCTGCTGTGTGTGTTTGTCCATCAATGATGAAGAGATCCTGTTCAGTCCCATTCTCGCTGCCAGGTAGCAGCTCATAGCTGTAGGAGTTGTTTGACTTTTTGGGAACAGCCTTATACCAGTAGAAGCTCCAGCCAGCAGAAGGATGATCAACACTGCAGTTCAGAGTTACTGAGGCTCCAGGACTCGGCCATGGTGGAGACACAGTGAGGACAGGCTTAGGTGTGTCTGTTGGAAAGTGATTTAATGATAACGTTATGATGTATAATTGGTGGGTTACATGCACTTCTTGGATCCTACATATTTTCTACAAACGTAGAAAACGAAGCAAATTTAAGGGTGAACTGTCCTTAAATATAAACCAAAATACTAGTTTTTATTTTATATAGAGCAAAAAAAGTCAACTGATGATAAATGACTTACTCTCAGATACTGTCAATGTGAAAACAATCCATTTGTCGCAGATTATAAAGTATAACAAGTTTTGTTGGTAAAGCATTATCTTTATGTAAATGCTTTTATGTAAGAAGCTGATCCCTGTCTGTCTTTTTGTTCTTATTTTTGTGATAACCTAAAAGCACAGGATTGTAAAGCATACATCACCTGCCTTTACAGTATCAGTGGAGCTGTTCAAACGTTAAAACATAAAAATAATTTACTGATTATATACAGTGGCAGAAATAAGTATTTGATCCCTTGCCGATTTTGTAAGTTTACCCACTTAAAAAGAAATTAACAGTCTATAATTTTAATGGTAGGTTTATTTTACTAATGAGACACAGAATATCAAAAAGAAAATCCAGAAATTGACATTATATAAAAGATAAAAATGTATTTGCATTTAACTGTGGGAAATAAGTATTTGATCCCCTTGCAACCAACAAGAATTCTGGCTCTCACAGACCGGTTACATCAGTCTTCTTACTTTAAAAAAGTACTCCTAATATCAACTTGTTACCTGTATAAAAGACACCTGTCCACAGAATCAATCAATCAGATTCCAACCTCTCCACCATGGGCAAGACTAAAGAACTGTCTAAGGACCTCAGGGACAAGATTGTAGACCTGCAGAAGGCTGGAATTGGCTACAAGACCATCAGAAAGCAGCTTGGTGAGAAGGAGACAACTGTTGGTGCGATTATTCAGAAATAGAAGAAAAATAAAATGGGCATCAATCGCCGTCGGTCTGGAGCTCCACACAAGATCTCGCCCTGTGAGGTATTGATGATCATGAGAAAGGTGAGGGATCAGCCAAGAACTACACGGGAGGAACTTGTTAATGATCTCAAGGCAGCTGGGACCACAGTCACCAAGAAAACTATTGGTAACACACTACACCATAATGGATCAAATCCTGCAGTGCCTGCGAGGTTCCCTGCTCAGGAAGAACATGAAAGGCCCGTCTGAAGTTCGACAATGAACATCTGAATCAATAAAAAAAAGGCTTGGGAGAAGATGATGTGGTCAGATTGCAACCAAAATTGCAATCTTTTGCATCAACTCGACACGCCTTGTTTGGAGGAGGAGAGATGCTGACTATAACCCCCCCCCCCCCCCCCCCCCCCGTCAAGTATGGAGGTGGAAATATGCTTTGGGGATGCTTCTCTGCTAAGGGGACAGGACGACTCCCCTGCATCGAGGACAGGATGTACGGGGCCATGTACCGTGAAATATTGGCCGAAAGCCTCCTTCCCTCAGCCAGGACACTGAAAATGGGTCATGGATGGGTCTTTCAGCACGACATTAAACCTTAACCTCTTAAACTGTTAAGCACCAAGCCTGTTTTTCATGTTTCAGGCTCGAAAATGACATGCCCAAAACAAATGACTACAACTTAACTTCTAAAAGGGTTATATGAATAATTTCTCAATATAGATGTTTTTTATTTTAAAGGAAATTTAGATGTTACATTGTAAAAAACTGTAAATTATAGTGTCCGTCCAAAAATTCTTTTTTACTTATAGTGAAAACTACACTTGGATGATGGGTTAGTAGACTAAAAGCTTTAGGAATCCAAAGTACAACATATAATAAGTACCCTGTATCAAGATTGATGCAAAACAAGTGACATTTGACCTTTTTAGAGAGGTTTAGCCAAAACCACTCCACCTCTGAGGTGATTTGGGTGAAAATGTTTTTTTTCCCATATCTCTGGCCCCCCTTGGTCGATTTGGATGGTTGACACCTCTTTCTGACCGTTAGAGCCAATAGAATCGAAGGGGGAGGCCCCCACACACACACGTTGTGAAGAGAAAAGGTGGGGGCTGCGCGCATGCAGGTTTGCACCAGAGTGAAGCGATCTCTCGCTCTGACATTTGGAAACGAAAAAGCAGTTTTATTGCTTATGGATTATCAGAAATCATTTCAAAGAGGACACAGACACATTGGATTAACCTATGGATTAACTGCAGCATCGTTTTTTATCGTTTTAATGCCATTGAAGACCAGTTTTGACCAAGGTAAGCCATGTTAGCGTTTCTAGCTACCTAGCTCCACATGTTCTGATGTACGCTTTCGTTTATAGCGTCGCAAATGTTTATCACTGAGTGTTGAGGTGGGCACCAAACGATTCTATGTCTCCAGGAGATGCTAATCGAGGGGTTGGCTGTGCATCTAGGATAAGTAATAAGGGAGTATGAGTGAGTTTAGGTGCAGTGATAGGTTACATTTTTTTGCTCGTGGCTAATTCAGAGGCTGAGTGTGAGCATTGTGGGGTTTTTTTGGAGAAAAAAAATTAAAAAGATCAGTTAGCTGAGTTTCTTCCCGTTACATGGATATAAAACATTCATAGTTTATTAAATATTAAGATTCCTTAGACGTTGTTTCCTGCAAATGACGCGTTTATCCGCCCGGTACCGGGGGGGCGGTGCGTAACAGGTTAAGGACAATGGTCCCCCCATTGGACCCCTCCCATCGTTTTTTTTTGAGACAATGTCTCAGGGCTTCTTAACATTTATGAAACTATTAATGTGTAGCACCAGATTAACGGGAAGAATCTCAGCTAACTGAAGATATGAACCATTTTTACCAAAACAAAACACAAGGGTAGTACCAAACCTCTGAATTAGCACTAAGCGAAAAAATGCTAACCCACTTTAGCACACAACTCAAGATAAAGATACCCTTATTACTTATCGGAGCTGCACATACAATATATCCGATTAAAGCTGAGACTCCACAGATTATTTAGTTATAGTATCATCACTGAGCGATCCGAACTTGCGACAGGGGAAGCAAACACAGACATCACAACACGTACCTTTACGGAGCTTTTACAGGAGATCGTCTCACCGTAGCTGTCAATCTGATCAAAAGACGTGTTCAATGGCATTAAAACGAAAAAAAAAAGGCTACAACTGTTGATCCATAGGTTAACCTACCTGTGCCTTTGAAGAAATTATTTATAATCCATAATTCCATTTTTATGTAAAAATCGGAGCGAAAAAATGTGCTGCTAATGGTAGCCACCAGAGTGTATGCAGCTTCCGGTTTTGGTCACGCGTCACTCTCACTCCTTATTTGTTAACGTGTTGGTGTGTATAGAACTTTCCCTCGATTCCATTTTTGCTAAATCTCTCTAAAAAGGTCAAATTTCACTTGTTTTGCATCAATCTTGATACAGGGTACTTATTATATGTTGTACTTTGGATTCCTAAAGCTTTTAGTCTACTAACCCATCATCCAAGGGTAGTTTTCACTATAAGTCAAAAATAATTTTTGGACGGACACTATAATTTACAGTTTTTTACTATGTAAAATCTGAATTTTCTTTAAAATAAAAAACATCTATATTGATTCTGACTTTTCTACATCCAACTCACAGGTTTATCATTACTTTGAGAATAAAGATTATTAATTTAACCCTTTTAGAAGGGAAGATATGGTCATTTGTTCTGGGAATGTCATTTTCGAGCCTGAGACCTGAAAAACAGGCTCAGTGCTTAACAGGTTAACATACGGCCAAAAAGCACACTTAGGTGATGGAGGGGCCTAGCCAGTCTCTGGACCTTAATCCCATAGAAAATATGTGGAGGGAGCTGAAGCTTCGAGATGCCAAGCATCAGCCTAAAAACGTTAAGGATTTGGAGAGGATCTTCAGAGAGGAGTGGACCAGACTCCTTCCTGAGATGTTCACAAGCCTGGTGACCAACTACAAGAAGCGTCTGACCTCTGTGTGTCCAACAAGGGTTTCTCCACCAAGTACTAAGACGTGTTTTGCAAGGGGATCAAGTACTTATTTCCCACAGTTACATGCAAATCAATGTTTATCTTTTATATAATGTCAATTTCTGGATTTTCTTTTTGATATTCTTACTCAAATTGTTAAAATAAACCTACCATTAAAATGATAGACTGTTAATTTATTTGTAGGTGGGCAAACTTACTATATCTGCTAGGGATCAGATACTTATTTCCTCCACTATACATAAAGTTTTCTTTTTGTCAAAATATGTATTATACATTGACCAAACCAATGTTGTTTGGAGGGTTACATAGGTAGATTTGTGTTGAGTAAGTATACAAAAACAAAGAGAATTGTATAATTACCTTGAGCTTGTCCACGGTAAAGTAAATTGAGCACTGAAATACATTTGAAACTACATCAGACATTATCAAACTGACAAATATATCATAACCTCAGGCATTTAAAAAGTTGTATCAATGGTAATTAAAACTGGAAAAGTACTCACAGAATAACCCCAGCACGCAGAGCAAAGTGTGTCCCATCTTCACATCGAACACTGACTCTATCCCTTACACATACGTCCACTTTAACACTTGAACAAAATTGAGGAAGACTAACAGAGCACTGTGGGAGGAAATCGGATCTGATGTAGACATGAGCTCATTGGTATTTTACAGATTTCCTGAGAATAACTAGTCTCTCTTTCCTTCCTGTTTTACATTGGCATGACTACTTCATGCTCATGCCATGCAGATACATTTTAACTTCACTCTCGACCAAGATCCCACTTTAAAAAGGCAGAGTAAATAGTCATTTTTGCTAAACTCATATCTAAGTAAAATGGATGGCAGTATTATACTTGTGTTTCACAGGCAGATATATTTAACGCCAACAGTTAGATGGTTCATCGGGAAAACTGCAGAATGATTTAACCTCTTTTCATTCGTTACCTGACCTTTATTGCAATTGTAATTCTGATCATTTATCCTGCATTAGTCTAAAAACATAAGGCAAAAGTCAGGTTTTTTTGGTAAAATAGCCATCTTGTAAACCTCTAATATTAGATGTGTCTACTGCTTCATCACTATAGTAATAACAAGGGCCGATGATTCAAAGTGACACATTTTTGGTCACATCTCAGCTCTTGCACCTCTAAATTCCTTCTGTCTCCTCAAAGCATGACTGTACTGGATCCCCAAAATAAGAGGGAAGATGATGAAACAAATTAAACACCTTGTGAAAAGAATAATCAAGGAGAAGCACTTAAGTAAATAAAGTTTATTGATGGAAAACAAAGCTTAGACCTAGACCTTTAAACCTAGATTAAAGCCATATGATGCATTTCCTTTCAATGATTTGCTATTACATTAACTGTACAAAATACTGTCTGATCAATGGAGAACAAAGCTGTAAATAAGGTTTAATAAACAAAGGTTTCGTTTTGGTATATTGTTTCCATTCATCTTGTCCTTACAGAAGACATTGTTTGATCTGGAAGAAAACCAAGGAAGAAAGAAATTACACTTTAAAAAAGGGTGTTTCATGACATAATAGGAAATATATTGAGTGATTAATCCCAAAATGTACATGATGTTACGCTGCATTTTTACCAAGAAATGTTCCTGGTTTGAGTTCAGAATAAACAGTTTCATCCGCTGGTGCAGGACTTGACTTCCCTATGAATTAAGAGATTATTATTATTTATTATTTTACAGTATTCCCCCCAGTTAGCAATGAAAATGTACTGGTATACATTTTCCCCACAAGAGGGTACAGTGATAGTTTGATAGAAGGAATTTGTCTTGGTGATTCACATAGAAATCAAATGCTCACCCTTCTTAGAAATGTTTTTGAGATCGAGCACAGAATATGTTGCATCCCTGGATTCTTCTGAAATATAAAATGTATTTTATATTTAAAAGAGTGAACCTTGAATTGTCATATTCCAGTATTTATATTTACTATACTGTACCATTTGCAGGTTCTTCAGGGCCTTTGATTGTTTCATAGAGACAGGCATTATCTGAAGAGTAATCAAAATCAAACCATATATATATTAAAATCCCTCTATATGAACTCCTACATTTTTTAAAACAACTAATGAGAAATGGAAATGCTACTCGGTTAATAACGTTAACATTCAATTCAAAACGTATTAAGGATTCAGGCTGACCCTGAAGAACAGAAGCATTTTCTCTTTGGTTAGTTTCGTCCTGGTTGATCATGTGGTCTGTAGCAGGGCCCTGATTGGTCCTCTGAGATCTGGTGGGCAAAACACATGTAGTAAATGAAGTGGATTTATTAAGGAACATATTACTGCTGTCATGTTCATAATAAAAATAAAATAGTGTTTAACAACCTGCTATAGCATGAATCTGTTACAAAAAAGAGTAATACTATATTATTTTGCATTGCGAAAGTATCCTACTGTCAAAACAGTACGTGTGATTACATTAGAGTCAATCTTATATCAGAAGAAAATGATCTCACCTTTTGACTTTCTGTATAAATACAGGAACAGCAGCAGGAGAATAATCAGTAAAACTCCACAAAGCAGCCCAACGATCAGAAGAATGGGAAATTGACAGTCTTTTCCAGGCCCGGACGCTGCTAATATAAGTAATCTTTATTAATATTATATCTCTAACACTTTCCTGTAATGGATTAACTTTATAAAACCTTTTTTAATTCAAACACAGTTTAATTCAGAATAAACTAAGCTTCCTATATCTCAGGCTGTAACACAGCTTACAAAAAAGGAAGTTTTTTTTTAATCTTATATCTTACATTTTACTGATTTGTATTTTCAATGCTGCTCATGTAATCATGGTCATATGAATGTTTTAAGACTGAATACAGAACTGGAAAAATATATTTATTTTACAAAAACCAAATGTATAATTCAGAGGAAACACAACTTTGAATTCAGTATTAACTGTGTTTTTTAGCTCTGACTGAGCAACACATCTCAAAAAGAGGAAACTGTTTTTTATCATACTCACATTTTACTGAGAACCAACTCTCGGTGACGTCCACTTCTGCAAACCGTGTGGTGAATGTCTCTGTTTACATTTATAAAAGCCTTCATCTGACTTTGACACTGCAGAGATGGTCAGCTCCCTTCTGGTATCGTTCTGGATGAGTTCGTCATTTTTATAGAAATCCACATCATAAAGAGCAGTTTCTGTCTTGAACTTGCAGCTAAGAATGACAGGAAGTCCCTCAGCCACAGGACGGACAGGGCTCACCAGGATAATATCATCATCTGAAATAAAATAAATATGAAGGCTTTGTCAGAGAAATCAGCTTTTGCAGATTTAATACATTTAGGCACAACTGGTCTAGTCTGGCAGAAGCTGAAATGTCAGGTAGATGTATGAGGAAAATAAAACACATAGTATATTATCGTTGATCATTGAGAGAAGTAACCCTGGAGTTCACTTTGCAAATTAAACCTTTTTATAAAGTTTTAACTCACTTTGAAGAGTATTTTGGCTAATGCGTGTCACCTTCACATTACAAAAATAATATAATACTTCAAAAACAAACATTTTAAATAAATAAAACTCACACTTCATTGTGATGTTGACTGCATTACTGAACTGTCCTGTTTCAGACTCACACCAGAACACTCCAATAAACCAGCTACTGGTTATTTTGCATGTGGATCCAGTCATTGTCCCCCAGATATAACAGGGATAAAGGTTGTCAGAATCATAAAACCTCATCACTCTCCACTCAGTGGAGTTTCCCTCACAGCTCAGTGACACAGAGGTTTTGGTGAAGTGCTGCACACTGTCAGGACTCACTGTGAGAGACGCTACTGAGTTAATATCTGAAACACACAAAGGGGAAAAACAAACCATTTATGTATATTGAAGGTAACTTGAACGTTAAAAAAAAACAAGAAGCATTTAATCAACAATAAAGAGTGAGTGACTAATTAAAGCATGTAAATATTATTTTGCGAATTTTTGAGTGAATTGCTGAATGTAAAGAATTTGGAGTTGTTTGTAACATTGGGGAACTTTTATGTAGAACATAACAAAAAGGCATATCCAAAATATCCCAACACCCAAAAATAAATGGAGTCCTCCATTTAAAGGTTTATGGGGCATACCTGTAGAACAAGAAAGAAAGAAGGATCTAAGAAAGAACATATATGAAAGCGAAAACAAAAAAAAAGAACAGAGCTATTGAGAGAAGGAGAAGAATGGATGGATGTAAAGAAGGAACAATAGAAAGTATCAGTCCTTCAAACCTGAACCACAGCTTACATTGACCTGATGCTTGTGTGAAGGAAAAGTTCCCAAAATAAGTGAATTCCTACCATTTTGCAAGAATGGAAAAGTCAAATCATACTGACCTCCAGACCAGACAAACACAGGTTTGCTGTTCCAACTGTAAAACACTGGATCTCCTCTTCCTGCTCTGCACACATATCCTGCTGTGTGTGTTTGTCCATCAATGATGAAGAGATACTGTTCAGTCCCATTCTCGCTGCCAGGTAGCAGCTCATAGCTGTAGGAGTTGCCTGACTTTTGGGGAACAGCCTTATACCAGTAGAAGCTCCAGCCAGCAGAAGGATGATCAACCCTGCAGTTCAGAGTTACTGAGGCTCCAGGACTCGGCCATGATGGAGACACAGTGAGGACAGGCTGAGGTGTGTCTGTTGGAAAGTGATTTAATGATAAAATTATGATTTATAATTGGTGGGTAACATCCACTCCTTGCATCCTACATATTTTCTACAAACCTGTAAATCACATTCAAAGGTTAACTGTCCTTAATATAATAACAAAATACAATTATATTTGTATTTACAGCAAAAAAAAGTAAACTGATGATGTATGACTTACCGTTAGATACTGTCAATGTGAAAACATCACTCCACAGCGTGTAAGACATTTCACCTTTCAGTCTGCCCACACACTGGTATTTCCCATTTCTTGATGAAGGAGCAAGGTGAGATTTCTGAGGTGTGTTTGATCCGGGTGTCCTCCAAGAAAACTCCCACTCATAGTTTCCTCCATCCTCAATTTCACATGTAAGAGTGAATGTTTCTCGAGAGTATATTTGAGGCCAGTTGGGTTGCAGGGTCACAACAGTCCTGTTTGTGACTGTTAACCATCAATGAGCACCAAAAACAAAGGCCATGTTAGACATAAAACATATAATTTTAATGTCAAATACATCATTTGTTTTCTGTATGACATAATATTAGATGTTTTAATTAACGACTGCATCGCTGTACTCTGTGTAGTAAACAGGGTCTCCTCTTCCTCCTCTGCACCAGTAGATGCCTCCTCGTGAGACACTGATTTGGTCACTTGTGAGGAAAACATCTTGTGTCTTCAGGGGTTCAGAGGTTTTCTCTTTTTTGTACCAGAAGTATCTCCAACCAGAAGCTGATGATGGTCCTACAGAGCAAGTTAGAGTCACATTGCCCCCTCCTGGAAATATGTATCTCAGCCGGGCCTTTGGTTTTGCTTTTTAATGTAGAATAAAGGTACAAATGTTTACAAAATGTTAGTTATTGTCCCTGTAAATAAGCCTAGCTTGAAAAATAATACAAATGTATAACATATCTTATATCTTAGTAATATTCAATCACTGTGTATGCTATAATGAAAATATAGAGAAATAACTATGCTTATATTTCTATTTCTAACCACTGAAGTAATTATTTAAATGAACCTAGTGTTGAAACATGTAAATGTAAAAAGCCTTTTTTTCTTTGTTTAGTGTCCAGTGTTTCTAAGATAATGCAGATATTATCATTCTGTTTCATTTTGGGTTTACTAAATGTCTGAAGCTTTTATGTATGAAAACTACAGTTTTATTGGTTCAGATTCTTCATCGCCAAATGTACAACTGTAAGCTCTCCCGTCTGACATTACTTGAACGGTGTTTTTTGCCATTAATTGTGACTGGTGGTTTCTGTCTGTTGTGATCAATGATCCGTCTCTGTAGAAGGCAGCATTCTCCTCTCTCTGAGTATGATGCCGACAGCGCAGAGTCACTGATTCTCCTTCAAACAAAGTGGACGCAGGACTTTCCAGGATCACGTTTCTGTCTGTGTAACACAAATTATCCTTTATTATAGTAAAACAGCTCAATTAATACCACATTAGTACAAACACATACTCCCAGTTATGAAGAATACATTTTCACATTTCATGAAAAAGGAATACATTTTTACCTGCACTGTTTGAATAATTACTGTTAAGCACATTAAGGTTTATTAGTTTCTCGAATATATTGGTCTTTCTTCATAATTTGTCACAATTAATAAAGTGTAACAAGGTGTGTTGGTAAAGTATTATCTTTATGTAAATGCCTTGATTTCAGAAGCTGATCTCTGTCTGTCTTCTTATTCTTATTTTAATACTCTTGATTTTGTGAAAACACAAAGCACAGGATTGTACAGTATACTTCACCTGCCGATACAGCATCAGTGGGTGTGTGTGAGACAAGTGAACAGAGTCAGCCTGCAAACAAGCAGTCTGCTGTCATTTGAAACATGTTCCCCGACTTTTTAACACACTTTTACCCACGTTTTGAGCACTTATTCCTGGGTCAATGTGTTCTCTTTCCCCCCTGGGTGTGTGTATGTCTGCCTGGAAGTGTGATATGTTGCTTAAAGCAGTGATTCTGCTGTTTTTAGTTTATTGTACATTTAATAAATTAAATATGATTAATATGTACATTGTTCTGTCTATACTGACACGTTTATGTCCATAACTCCGTATGTTTATGTCGTCCAATGTACACTGTCTAAAAACGACAATAACGAGTTAATTAAAACATTTTGGCCGCTCATAGGCGGCCTGCCATGCGCACCTTGAGTCCCCGGGCCCCCTGACTTAAGCACACTGCCTTGGACAAAACCCCATGTGCATAACTGCCAGACAAGCGTGCCCTTGGTAACCTAAAAATATGAAAAGTGTCTGAGTGTCAGGAGTCCGCAGTTGGATGCTTAAGGGCGGACGGTAGACCACCACAAAATCCACCCCTTGTTAGTCTTACCAGGGGCACGAGGTTCTGGAGGGTGTGAATATCTGGGTTTAGTCCGCAGTTGGATGCTTAAGGGCGGACGGTAGACCACCACAAAATCCACCCCTTGTTAGTCTTACCAGGGGCACGAGATTCTGGAGGGTGTGAATATCTGGGTTTAGTCCGTGGGGGAGTGCTTAACTGCGGGGGCCCGGGGACTCATGGTGTGCAAGGTTATGGAGGAGTGCCACTGTTAGGGACTCATGCTGGAGGTCTCCTGCATTTAAACAGATTCACCAGTTTATAACATTACTTTAGCCCTGATCAGAGCCCTGTTTTCTGGGTAAGACAGCGAGGTGCTGTACCCTGGGTCTCTGGGTCTATGGGTCTCTGAGACCCTGCTAAAAGCAGTGACTCTGCTGCCTGCATTTAAACAGATTCACCAGTTTATAACATTACTTTAGCCCTGATCAGAGCCCTGTTTTCTGGGTAAGACAGCGAGGTGCTGTACCCTGGGTCTCTAGGTCTATGGGTCTCTGAGACCCTGCTAACAGCAGTGATTCTGCTGTTTTTAGCTCATTGTACATTTAACTAATTAAATATTATTAATATGTACATTATCCCGTCTATATTGACACATTTATTTCCATAACTCTGTATGTTTATTGAGTCCAATGTACACCGTCTAAAAACGACAATTGTGACTGAATTAAAACAGTTTGACAGCATTTTAACACTCATGTAGCCATGTTTGCAGCCCTGTTCCCTGGGTAACAATTGAATTACCCTCCTGTTGAATTAAAACATTTCCCACGGCTTTAAACACTAATATACCCATGATTCAGACAATTATTCCTGGGTAAATGTGTTATCTTTTCACCCTGGTCCTGAATTAAAACAGTTCCCCCGACTTTAAACACTAATGTACCCATATTTTGCCCACTTATTACTGGGTTAATATATCATCTTTTCCCCCTGGGTGTGTGTGGCACCATCTGGTGGAACATTTGTGAATTACACTAAAATCCAAAACTTTAATGTTTTTTATCTTAGCGAAATAATGGTTTAATGACCCCAATGTAATGATCATTTATGATTCTGCAGATGTTGTCTACACGTGTATCACAACGGCTTATTTTTAGAGTGATTTGGAAAACTCGGTGAGCGAGGTTTATTTTTGTCAATATGAGATGCACTGTTTTCATGTCCCATGTACATATCTGTACATATGGCCTCACGCACTACCAACATATACTAACGGGGAGTAATGCACAGTGTTTCCTCTTCCAGCCCTGCACACATACAACACACTCTCACTCCCTAAGCGTCCAGGAGCGACGCTTGGTCAGGGTCCCGTGGCGTCCAGTTGTGACGCACCGAGGCTCCTTCAGCTTCATAAACGGACGCAAAGAGCTTTCAACTGATTGCAATGTATTCCCATCGGCGTCGGTATTTGACGCTTAGGGAAGCACGGCATTCGTTTGTGTCGGAGGCTGTTAAAGGCAATGTGAGCGTCCATTCCCATTGGATAACGGAGAATTGTACACCCGGAAGTAAGTATTCCCCTTACTGTCGATTGATTTGACAGTGATATCTCCACTACTCATCAACTCAAAAACACCAGATTATCCTTGTTAATTAAACGACATTGATAGGTTTTAGTGTGTGTACAATGCTTTTGTCACGTTTTCCCCTTTAATTCTGAGAAACAAGTTGTTTTCTATGAGTTTTGGATGGCCGAAGACATTACATTACCCACAATCCTCTGTAGCAACCATAGACTGTATACAAAAATTAAATAATACATTATTCCGAGTGTGCTTGCTTTTCTCTTCAAAAACACCAGATTATCCTTGTTAATTAAACGACATTGATAGGTTTTAGTGTGTGTATAATGCTTTTGTCACGTTTTCCCCTTCAATTCTGAGAAACCAGTCGTTTTCTATGAGTTTTGGATGGCCGAAGACATGACATTACCCACAATCCTCTGTAGCAACCATAGATTGTATAAAACAATTAAATAATACATTATTCCGAGTGTGCTTGCTTTTCTTTTTGAAAGTCATCACATAACAGCATTGTAATACACGTTTCGGCTGCATTAAATATGACATATCTGCCGTAGTTAACTCTGCCCTGATGACAAGACTTCTAGACAAACAGGAACTGCTGCCAAAACTGAAAACTTGACGTGGATCTTAAATATATAAGCAATTAAACAACATCTTACATTTATTTTCACACAATACGTCTCCTTGCAGTATCAACACTAATTCGGCTGACTTTTATATTTGATCCAATTGGTAGATAGGCTGTATTTACGCCATAACGGTGCACAGCTGATAGAAAGGGACACCTACTGGTTAAAGCACGTTATTGCATTTTATAATTGTATTATTAGATATTAATAGGAGGATGTGCAAAACAGACAAACTAATAAGGCTTTATTTAAACATTAAAGAATACTTAAGGTTAAGGTCTTCTTTTGAATAAGAAAAAAGCTTTGGGGGTATAGAAGATGAATATGGAGGGATGAAACCCTCTACAGATAAATATTAAGCCTGACAAAGTACTTAACGTCTAATATATTGCTTTCCTGCCATGTTAACTATGTTTAAGCACTTATTTTAACTGATATTATACATATGTATTATACTCTTATAAGATGTATGTAGATAGTATAAGAAATGTGCAGAATATGACAATGTAATGGTGGAGGTACACACATATTGATAGATGTCTTGTAATGCACTGTTGAGGAACCTGTGACCCTAGTTTTTCATTCATTGCATAACTACACCGCAGTTGTGTATAATATGATATGTCAATAAACCTTAGAAAATCTTGAAATCTTGAAAGGGATGTGCAAAATAGTCATTATATACAGTCTTCAATGTCAATAAACCTTAGAAAATCTTGAAATCTTGAATGGGATGTGCAAAATAGTCATTATATACAGTCTTTAATTAACTATTAGTAGAGAATAACGACGAGTAAAGAATATACTTTATAGGGATCCTATTCATATCTAATAATAAAATGATAAAATGCAATAACGTGCTTTAACCAGTAGGTGTCCCTTTCTATCAGCTGTGCACCGTTATGGCGTAAATACAGCATATCTACCAATTGGATTAAATATAAAAGTCAGCCGAATTAGTGTTGATACTGCAAGGAGACGTATTGTGTGAAAAGAAATGTAAGATGTTGTTTAATTGCTTATATATTTAAGATCCACGTCAAGTTTTCAGTTTTGGCGGCAGTTCCTGTTTGTCTAGAAGTCTTGTCATCAGGGCAGAGTTAACTACGGCAGATATGTCATATTTAATGCAGCCGAAACGTGTATTACAATGCCGTTATGTGATGACTTTCAAAGAGAAAAGCAAGCACACTCGGAATAATGTATTATTTAATTGTTTTATACAGTCTATGGTTGCTAAAGAGGATTGTGGGTAATGTAATGTCTTCGGCCATCCAAAACTCATAGAAAACG